GTTGATATATGGTGGTTTGTTACGAAAACTCCGATAATTATCATATTTATATAATGACAGGTGATATTTTTTGGGATAAATTATTCTATTATATTTAAAAATTAAAAGTAACAAATCACAAGAATTTTACAATTGTTAGACAAAATCTTACAATTATAAAAAAAAAACATATATCGAAAGCAGACATACGAAAAGATGATAGAAAAAAACCCAACCTACCACCTCGAGTATGTTGAAAATAAACACCCATCTCAAACTTTAAAAATTCCGAGTCTAAACGGCATAATTGCTTCTAAAAACATTCATTTCAACTTCATTAGTCAATTGATTCGAAAAAGGGAGAACTAAAGAATGTTACCATAGCAGGAAGAGGAACATGTGATATTTGTACGATAATACTAAAGATTTACAACCCCTAGATGTCAAATTAATGGATTTTGGAATGTTTCCTAGCACATGTATGGCTCGTGGTTTCGGAGGATAACATCTTCCATCTAGACTTAAGGAGAAACTTTTCCATTTTTCATGGGGAACTAGAGACATTTTTATGTAAGATGAAATGTTTGATTTGGATCTCCATGATGACTAGGGTTGTTTTTTAGACGAATTGTGTTGGATATAATCTATATGGTTAACAAATTCAGAAGAGTGACCAACTATTGAAGCAAAGCTTGATGATTTTAAGAATGCTAAAGTCTTCTCTTTCTTTATATTCTATCTACTTTATTTTACATTGTACTAATATCCGTTTGGATTGCCTTGTGAAAATGGCAAAAATACGGAATTTTTTTTTGTTATGTATGTTTGTCGATTTTGAATTGACTTTCTTTTAAAAACAATATTACTTCAGTTAGTGAAATATGGTGTTTTTGATGTAAAAGAAAATTACATGATATCATTTTTATTAGAATTATTCATTTGTGTGTTATTGTAAAGTTTAATATGATAGAACATGATGAATAATAAGAAGATTTGAATTATATAATAATGTATTGAAAAATGCTATAACGATATGTTGTGAAAAATGCTACAATCATAGTTAAATATTTGTATTTTGTCCCTAAAAAGCCTCAACTATTACAGCTCACGAGAGCATCCTGATGTAAACCTTTGTCTTCCATTTTGGAGAAAACAAAAATACATCGAAATAATTGAATCCCTCTAAAATAAAATAAAAAAGTATTCAACTTTTTCTTTGACCCTCTCTCTCCTTCCCCTCTTTTCATGGTAGACCCAACTCTCTCTCTATCTAACCCCATTTCCATGGAAGCAAACAGATGTGTTCATCTCTCTCTACAGCCTTACATGAACAGTGACTG